ACGTTACGGTCGGCCAGTAGATGGAAATAATGTGAAAATGATAATGACGTTTTGCTAGCTGTCAAATCGTATGGAATATTTTTTAGTACATCATCACTTTTGTGGTTCTGGATTTCAAACCTAGGTGTCGCATCAGTTTTGCGTAGATTCATCAATTGAAGAGGATGCCTGCCTGACTCTTTCGATACCCTAACTACTGCGTTGGAAAGCCGTTCTGACGAGGAGCTCACCATGGAACTGGTGAAACGTAAATTGCTGGATGAAGCACAGAATCGTGCTGAAAAATTTCATCGTGGAGAGTCCATTCTGCGTGCTGGTGGCGACAAGAAGATTGTGTGCCACAACTGTCATAAACCCGGACACATGAAGCGAGCATGCCCAGCGGCAAGAGCTGGTGACGGAAGAGCAAGCAGCAATTCGAAGCCGAAGAAAAGTCAAGGTTCAAAAGCGAAGATTGGCAAGGCGAACCCGTTTGCGTTTATGGCTACTACGACCGAAAATAAATCGAAGGTTTGGATCGTCGATTCTGGAGCAACGTCCCAGATGTGCTGCAACCGTTCGTTTTACGATGAGAAGCTCGGGGATTTCCATCACGTTGGCCGATGGAAACGAGACGTTGGTGAAAGGCATCGTATCTGGCCGCATGTTTTGCCAAAACGAGGAAGGAGAACAGCAAGAAGTTATCCTGTCCGACGTGTAATACGTTCCAAATTTGGAATCGAACCTGATTTCTGTTGGAAGACTGGTTGCCAAGGGAGCAGAGGTTGTTTTCTCTGGTTGCCGTGGTAGCGTGATCCAACGTAACGGAGTCGTAGCAGCCGTAGCGAAGAAAATTGGTGGGCTGTACCAGTTGAAGTTTGCGGAAGAGCGCGGTATGCATGCGTCATACCACAAAAAGGACTGCATCCACCATTGGCATCGGAAGTAAGGTCATCGTGATCCCGAAGCAATTCAGCAAGCTGTGCGGGAGAATTTGGCGACGGGCGTGACCATCCACAAGTGTGAAGTGTTCAAGACATGTGAGTGCTGTGTCAAGAAGACTCGATCGACAATCAGCAAGGATCCTGGATATAGTGCACACGGATATCTGCGGTCCAATGAACACGCTATCGCCTGGCGGTGCACGATATTTCCTTACGATGATCGACGATTTCAGTCGATACACCATGGTGTATTTCCTCAAAAGAAAGTCGGAAGCTGCGGAAATAATAGAGGATTACGTGAGTATGGTGCACAATCGATTCGGAAGAAATCCAACGGTTATTCGCTCGGACCAGGGAGGTGAATATAAATCGAAGCGTTTGAGACGATTCTACAGGGAGAATGGAATAGCGCCCCAGTATACGGCGGGATATGCACCGGAGCAAAACGGAGTCGCGGAGAGGAAAAACCGGTTGATTGTCGAAATGGCTAGGTGCATGCTGATCGACGCTAAGATGGGCTACCAGTTCTGAACGGAAGCGGTCAACACGGCCGTGCACCTGGAGAATATACTTCCATCACGGTCCATCGAGAAAACATCTTTCGAGCATTCGTTTGGGAAGAAACCGGATTACGGACGATTGCATATTTTTGGTTGCACTGCGTTCGTTCACGTTCCTGATGAGAAGCGAAGCAAGCTGGCGAAGGCGGAAAAGTTAACATTCGTCGGTTATTCCGAGAATTACAAGGCGTTCCGGTTCATCGATAAAGCAACGAAGAAGGTTATAGTCAGCCGTGATGTTCGATTCGTTAAAATAGAGGATGATATCGAAAACGAAGGTTCAACGTCACCGAGTATTGTGGAATACGAGTCTGAAGTATCCCAGAAAACTCCAGAAGGGGAAGAAGAATCCGATGATAACGAGTCGGCTCAGGAGGAGTGTGAGTCAGATACCTCGTCGTATGACTCAACATGCGACGGCATTGATGAGGGCAACGAATACGAAAGCGATACTGCAGCTGTGGAAACGCCACTCCGGCGTTCGACCAGAAATACGAGGGGACAGATACCGGTTCGTTATCCAGAAACCACTGGAATGGCACGCAGGCTTGTGGCGGAACCAAGGACATTCGCTGAGGCAATGAACGGGCCAGAGGTGGAACAATGGCGTACGGCGATGGATGAAGAGATCAAATCGTTGAAGGAAGCGAAACTGCCCGCAGACAGCAAAGCAGTCGGCAGTAAATGGATATTCAAGCACAAACTCGATGAGGACGGCAACATAGTGCGGTACAAGGCGCGTCTGGTTGCGCAAGGATTTTCCCAGAAGTATGGAACGGACTTCGACGAAGTGTTCGCCCCGGTGGTGCGGCAGGTAACATTTAGGACACTGCTGACGTGCGGACGTGAAGACCGTCTATCTCCACGGCGATCTGGACGAAACGATTTTCATGCCAGGCTACGAAGCTGGTGGTGTGAATGCGGTATATCTGTTGCAGAAAAGCTTGTACGGCCTCAAACAAGCGGGAAATGTTTGGAACAACAAACTGGACGGCGTATTAAAGGATCTTGGTTTCACACAGTCAGCAAATGATCCATGTTTGTACGTGCGACGTCGAGGCAATTCACGTATTTAGTCATCTACGTGGACGTTATGGTCATCGCTTGCCACACCGAAGAGGAGTACAACGAGTTCATCGCAGCCCTTAACCGTAGCTTTACGGTAACATCGTTGGGAGACATCCGCCATTTCCTGGACATCCAAGTGCAATACAACGAGAAGGAGTTTTCTCTCAACCAACGGGCTTACATCCAGAAGTTGTTGGAGCGTTTTGGGTTGACTGACGCAAAGTCCTCGAAGATTCCTTTCCTGTCGAACAACCACCAGTACTCAAGTTTGGTTGGTGGTTTGTTGTACGTGGCAGTAAACACTCGACCGGACATCGCGGTCAGCGTATCGATTCTTGGAAGATCGGTGAGCTGCCCATCACAAGCGGATTGGACGGAAGCGAAACGGATACTTTGATACCTCAAGTTCACCAACGACCACGATCTTGTACTTGGATCAGGAGGAGCTGTCATGGAGGTTTACGTCGACACTGACTGAGCCGGCGATGTGAAGACCCGGGAGTCGAATTCTGGATTTCTGGTAATGTTTGGTGGTGGTCCAATCCACTGGGCATCCCGGAAGCAGACATGTGTTGCTTTGAGCAGAACAGAAACTGAGTTTGTGGTACTCGCTGAGTGTTGCAAAGAGTTACAATGGATTGACCGACTGTTGCAAGATTTCTCCGTTGTCATGACGAAACCGATCCAAACTACTAGTAGTAGTAGTAGTAGTAGTAGTAGTAGTAGTAGTAGTAGTAGTAGTAGTAGTAGTAGTAGTAGTAGTAGTAGTAGTAGTAGTAGTAGTAGTAGTAGTAGTAGTAGTAGTAGTAGTAGTAGTAGTAGTAGTAGTAGTAGTAGTAGTAGTAGTAGTAGTAGTAGTAGTAGTAGTAGTAGTAGTAGTAGTAGTAGTAGTAGTAGTAGTAGTAGTAGTAGTAGTAGTAGTAGTAGTAGTAGTAGTAGTAGTAGTAGTAGTAGTAGTAGTAGTAGTAGTAGTAGTAGTAGTAGTAGTAGTAGTAGTAGTAGTAGTAGTAGTAGTAGTAGTAGTAGTAGTAGTAGTAGTAGTAGTAGTAGTAGTAGTAGTAGTAGTAGTAGTAGTAGTAGTAGTAGTAGTAGTAGTAGTAGTAGTAGTAGTAGTAGTAGTAGTAGTAGTAGTAGTAGTAGTAGTAGTAGTAGTAGTAGTAGTAGTAGTAGTAGTAGTAGTGGTAGATATTGATAAATAAAAGTAGCGCTTTCTTGAAAAACACGAGAAACAGAAATGCTCCCCTGTACCGAGGGGTGTTTCGATCGTCTCAAAAAATCGGATTCATAAAATTTAGACTAAAATAAACATCTTCAAATTTGGTCAAAATCAAAAGAGGTTAATTTCACGTGCCTCAAACACTTGGAGCGGAATGAATCGAGCAGAAAACATCAAATAAATCCATGATTACAGCGTTAACAGATTATGCGTTTGGTACGATTTTTTTAGCTCAAAAGCTACCAAACGAAGTCAATAAAAATGCGTGATATGTTTGCACCCATTATTCTCAAAAACAAAAGAATCGAATCAATTGTTATCTTTTTCCGATAGGCCAAAGTGAATTCAATGGCGATTCAATGACGTTTTAATGAGTTAGCCCGAATTTAGATTCCGTAGGTCGAGTATGGGGTCAAGAAGCAGTGTTAGATTTTTAACAATATTTCAACAATTAGTTACTCTTACATCAAATCTTACGGTACGTACGCAAAGGTAAATACATTTAGAAGTCATCTCCAGCAAAAACATTTAATTTTGTGAAAAAAAATCCGCTCGAAAAATAGAGGTAAAGCGCGGGTTGTGCTTAGTAGGCCCAAAATTAGAGTCTAAAAAAAACATAAGACCAAGATGTCTGAAAATCTGCGACCCACAAGTCCAATGAATTATAGTGGAATAGATTACCAAAACGGTCGACGACAAAGGTGTTCGCTCGGTGTCCGCAGTGTTTCTACAATAAACTATAAATTTGATAATAATTTTTCATGCAAAGTAATGTCATATCCGATATTGTAGTCATCCCATACACATACATTCTCAAATCCTCCAATATTTATGTGGATCACGTGAGCTACCTACCTGACCTTCCCTGACATCGCTCCAGTTTCGTCTTTCCACCATTAGCTATTGCTATTGTCCATTCCGCAAAAACACATCACAATAATAGACAACCTCAATCAGTGTGACTCCGCCAAGCACACATACCTTTCTTCCTTATCAGCACTGTGCAAAAAACCTCAACCCCATAAGCCTTGCATTAATCATACCGCAAATACAAAGATGTGCTCATGATAACGCCTCCTCCTGCTCTTCCTACCCTCATCCACATAATGTGATTGTAGACGACGATGATAATGGCAAACACGTATCAATTTCGCACTCAGATAACGGCCCACTACCGGGGCTATCATACTAATACCTTTTTATGATCCTTTCCTTTCCCGATTACCTTTATAGGCATTTATCACAAGCCCCGAATCGTCGGCTTAGTCATCACCGGCACCTAATATGTCAGCCCCTTCGTGCTGGAAGATCCTAACGCGGAAGAAAATACTCTCCCTCGACAGTGATGGATCGGACAATGGCAAGCTGGGACGGATATTGAATACGTTCGATCTGACCGCCCTCGGTGTCGGAGCTACCCTCGGAGTGGGGGTATACGTTCTGGCCGGACATGTCTCGAAGGACCAAGCAGGACCCTCGGTTGTGCTGTCTTTCCTTATAGCGGCCGCTGCCTCCTTTCTAGCTGGTAGGTGACTAACTTGGTGGTTTCTTAGGGTTTGAATTTCATAAATTTTGTTCCAATGCAGGCCTTTGCTACGCAGAATTCGGAGCCCGAGTACCAAAGTCCGGTTCGGCATACATCTACAGCTATGTATGCATCGGCGAGTTTATGGCCTTCATCATCGGTTGGAACCTGATGCTGGAGTACATCATCGGTTCGGCAAGCGTTTCGCGGGGGCTGAGTCTGTACATCGACACGTTGGCCAACGATACGATGAAGATACGCTTCCGGGAGATTGCCCCCATGGAGTGGGACTTTATGTCCAGCTATTTCGATTTCTTCGGGTTTTCGGTGGCGATCTTATTGGGAGGTGAGTTGAACTGAATTTTAGTAAAGACGCTGATTTTGTTAGTCAGACACTTGGATTGTCTTTTTAAAGATGGATTCTAAAATATGTCACACATCACTCTTATCAAATTGTTTAATGCTTAAATTGAATCATATTCTCCATTGATAGTCGCCCTGGCCTTCGGCCTCAAGAAGTCAACCATGGTGAACAACTTCTTCACGGTGCTGAACATCGGGATAGTGCTGTTTGTTATCATTGCGGGAGCGATCAACGCGGACATCTCCAACTGGCACATCAATCCGGCCAACGTGTCTTCGATCTACAACGTGGGAGAAGGCGGGTTTTTCCCGTTTGGGTTCGAGGGCACCCTAAGGGGAGCGGCGACATGCTTTTTTGGATTTGTAGGCTTTGACTGTATTGCTACGACCGGAGAGGAAGTTCGGAATCCTCGGAAGGCGATTCCTAGGGCGATTCTATTATCGTTGTGCACGATCTTCTTGGCATACTTTGGAGTGTCGACAGTGCTGACACTGATGTGGCCCTACTACAAACAGGATGTCAACGCCCCACTTCCGTTTGTGTTCAACGAAATCGGATGGACATTTGCCAAGTGGACAGTGGCAATCGGTGGAATTATCGGACTCGTAGCCAGCCTGTTCGGTGCGATGTTCCCTCAACCAAGAATCATTTACGCAATGGCACAGGATGGACTGGTTTTTCGAGCTTTGGGTGACGTTAGCCATCGGTTCAAGACTCCAGTGTTTGGAACGCTCTGTGCTGCCCTTCTAACCGGAACGATGGCCGGTTTGTTCGATTTGAAAGCTCTAGTCAATATGCTGTCGATTGGTACGCTGATGGCGTACACCGTAGTAGCGATCTCAATACTCATTCTTAGGTAAGGAGACATGTTCAGGATGAAGATGGATGCTAAAATTGACTGACTTTTTCGCAGATTTTCCGAAGCTCCCAAAACTGACTCCATTCCATCAACCAGTAAGCAAGCGTTCGAATCTTCAAATCTTCTGAAGTCCGGTGACCGAATGACAGGATCCGCCTTCATGAAACAACTTTTCAACGTATCCTGCCTCAGGATACCTTCCCACGCATCGACCAGTGTTGTCGGAGTGCTGGTTACCCTATATTGTGAGTATTGTCTGACATTGTCTTCAGTTAAAAACATGTATCAAGCTTCTTGACAGGCGTCGTAGCCCTGGCCCTCTCCTTGACGATCTTCTACGCCAAGCAACCACTGTATGATCTGGAACCATGGGCATTAACGCTGGCCGGCATTCTTCTCGGTTTACTGCTGCTGGTACTGCTACTGATATCGATTCAACCGCGGGAAACGGCCGAGGCACCATTCAAAGTTCCCTTCGTACCACTGCTGCCCGCAATCAGTATTTTCGTCAACATCTACCTGATGCTGATGCTGGACGTCTACACATGGATCCGCTTTGGGATCTGGATGGCAATCGGTAAGTCTGCCCCTTAGCTCTTTCTCAAGAAAAATTAGATCAAAACTAACACCTGTACTAAAAACAAAATCATAGTAGTACTGCATGCTGCATGCTCTAACGTACACTAATCCATGCTCCCACTATTTTCCGTCACTATCCGAAACTCAGGTCTACCTATGTACGTAGCATGTGTATATTTCGGTAATAAAAGCCTAAAGAGTGATACCAAACAGGCGCAGAGTCCCCGACCTAGTCAAAATGGGCACCTGCATTGTTCAGAAGGGGTAGAAAACGGAGGTTTTGAGAATAGCGAAATCTCGACGACAATCACGTCAAACGGGTACTACTCACAAAATCTAAGTGCCGTAATCAATGGTGGGGATGAAAAGCAACTGAAGCTGATTCCCGTGGCAGGAGTGGAAAGGCCAAAGATTGACAAGGAGGAAGAAGTTGTTCAAACCAAAGCTAAGTCGAGAACTCCATCTCCAAAGAGCAGCATAGACGAGATCGTAGCCCTTTCCGAACTGTCCGATCTAGTGACCGAGAAGGTTGAACCGAATGGTAAGGCCTACTTTGTGGAGGATGTGAACGAGAAAAATTCCGATCAATCGATCGAGGAAACCAGCAAAGCCATCGCCATCTTGGATGATATATTGAATGATGAGGAGAAAACGATGGACAATGTGTATCGATCGTTGGACGACGAGTCATTAGCTAGTCCGGTGTTCCGGGAGCAGTCGGTAATTGCAGATATCCATCGTGAGGATGAGATCTCAATGCCACCCTTTGAAGAATCTCCCGTGGAACCGATTCAGGAGGAATCTCCACCATCTCCTATAAAGCTGGATCCTCCACCAATACGTGCGAGGGCAGCATTCGTAGTTGGGCAAGACGAGAAGCGTACCGCGGATTCAGACGAGGAAGAAATTCACTACAATCGGCTGGACAGTCAAAAGCAGAAACAATTTATGACTCGGTTGAGTACCCTGTTGATCAATCCTAAGCAAATGCCAGTCAAAAAAAAGAACACAAAATCAACAACGGACGAAAGTGCTGAAAGTCCTGAGCTAAAACGCAGCAACAGTGAACCTAGTTTTCTTCTACTCATAGAAAACAATGTGAACAACGAAAGCGAGACTGACAGTCCGGAAAGATCTCCGAACGAAACCGTACCTCCTCCTCCAAAGTTTGATGAAGCCCTCTTCAACACCATCAAGCCCGAGAGTGAGCTGGAGAAGGTGCAAAGCCCCCAACCGGACATCACAGCCGAAAGCCCAGTTCCTGCAGCACCCAAATTTGATCCGGTGTTCTACAACACCCTAGGTCGTGAGAAATCCAAACGGTCCACTATACTCTCCCCACCGATAACTACCTCAGGCTACAGCGAAGTAACGCTTCGGAAGCTCAATCCGCAGTCTACACCTCCGGCCGTGGACAGCAGAACCCCCGACGACGATGAAGAGTCTTCGGACAATCCTCGCGAAGCGTTCAAGTCCAAACTGGAACAACTACTGTCACGAGGACCAGCACCAAATATTCGCCCAAAAACCTTACCTCCTCTAGTGCTAGACCGACAAGCGGCCTTAAATCCCACCCCGGAGTCGTTGTCGTCGTCGGAAGCACAGCTACCCACCTCCAATGGTGCTGAACCACCTGCCAATACAAACCCCTCCACGCCCAGCAACTTTCGGGCGTTGGCAAAAACCTTCGACACAACCAAGAAGAAGCAGAAGCTGATCTTTGACGATGTTCTGAAGGAGATCAATCCGGACACTCGACCCAGCAGCATACGAAGCTCGCTCGAACATCGAATGTCGTTTTCTGAGTTCAAGAACGGCCTCAAGAAGACGGTGCCTTCGAAACAGTTCCTGCCCGATGCGTGATCCATGGTTGGTGTTATTGTTCAAGAGATGCTCTATTTATAACTTTCATTGGATGCTCACATTACGCCGGATGCGAAATGGATCAGGATGGCAGCGAGAGGTACGATAGTGGATTGGATCTTGTTGTTGGACATTGTTGTAGCATTCAAATCTGGTTGTGATGAAATTATGGTCAACTTTTGAGGTTCTATGGATTAGGTTCTGAGGACTTGGGGATTATTCAAGAGGCATTGTTGCTCGTGTTTGAAGGCTTTATGAGTAAACTTCCGAGATGAGTCAACTCCGGAATACAGACAAGATTCTTATATTACGGTTAAACTTACCATATAGGATTAGAGCTAATTGGGGACAAATTCTTATTGTAGGGTTATTATTGGCCCCTTTTTGGAAAAAAATAACATCCGGAAAGTCACATGTCTGGTCCTTCGGAAGACCCGGAACATCCGGAAAAGTGGTCAATTCATGAAACTGATCCTAGAGCTCCACGTTTTTTTTTTTCAAAACCACTCATAAACGCCCTTTCAGAATAAATTCGGATTTGTGACCCAAATATGGACCCTGGGCACTTCATAATGGTCCAGCGGAAGATCCGAAACACCCGTAAAAGTGGTAAGTTCTGTGGGTGGCGACTCTATTTACGATGCAAGAAAGATTGTGTTTTGCTGTGGCTAGCTGTGCGCACGCTGAGTACATAGAAAGAAGATTGATGACGATTCTGAAGATTTCCTGCAAAAAGATGATGCACGATACAAGTAGATGCGAGAAATGAAAGAAGATTTTTCGAAGATTGTGTAACAGGTGAGGTACTCTCTGCCCAGCACTTATGAGACCCCCCTCTACACTGCCTTAGGGTCGGCATACACGTGTGACTATCGTGGCCAAGGAACCACTCAAATACTTTTAACACACCCTGATGAACTTTCACACAGGTTTCTTTTATTTCCCTAAACCCACTTTATTATCAGCTATCTCCTACCTTAGCCTTCACAAGTTCTTCCTTCGTCTTCCGTCGTCCGCTACACCTTCAACTTCACTTTCTCCTTTCTTTTGATTCTGTCCTTCGTCCCTCGGTTTCGACTGTGGGTAGCCCAGTCGATTCACTTCTTACCACTTCACTCTCCTCTCCTCCTTCGAGTGCTCCCACGGTACCGTTTGCTGAGCCGTTCCCGCCGAGGGGGGCGACTCTATCTACGATGCAGAAAAGATTGTGTTTTGTTGTGGCTAGCTGCACATACGCTGAGTAGATAGAAGGAAGATTTATGTCGATTTTGAAGATTTCCTGCAAAAATTTGAAGCACGATGCAAGTAGATGCGCAAAATGATAGATGATTTTTCGAAGATTGATTCGCTAGTATGAGATTTTTTGAGCATCTAGAATTGAGATTTAGATGTGTCGCCCCCCTCGGTTCCCGCACGGTATAACGAGTCCACGACGCACCGTGGTCCAGATCTGTAAAAACCCGGTCAAAAGTGATTATCTCACGAACGATGCATTTTAGACATGTAGTGTCTTCAGGAAAGTCTCTGGATATGAAAAGCCCCTTCTTATGACATTGACAGATCAATGATTAATCCCCCTAGAAGTGAGATCGAAAATTTATTTTTGTCAAAGTTTCATATTTTGGATCGGTGTCTTCGGCAAAGTTTTAGAAAATATCATCACAAGAAACTTTGTTGAAGACACTAGGTGTCCATTTCTTTACCCTATTGAAATATGGAACGTTTTTTATAGAAACCCCCTTAATTTAAGTTTTTGCTCTATAACAATGTTCATTCAACTGCTACAGGCTTAAAATGTTCTACAAAATTTTTTAAAACATCAAAACACACAAAATTTCTGAACATTATAGGATACTAAATTGCATAATAGGTCAGTTATTATTGATTTTTCCGAAAAAATAATAATTTTTGGCCACTTAATTATGATTTACTACCATTCTCCACGAAATCTGCATAACGTTTTTGGTGCAACGTACATAGCATGCGTTGCTTTTTTGTGTACCCTTCGGTCTTTCAAAATCACATGGTTTTGAGTCCGCACGTGTTTTTCGAGAGATTAAAATTCCAGTATCCAAATCGTGTGCTTGAAGCCGAAATTTAGCAGGTTTGTTTATCCCTTCTTATCATTTGAATAGTGAATTAATTACGTTTTTCATAGAATGAAGCCATTTTCTTCAACGCGACGGAAGCTGCTAGAAATTATCCGTGAGAAATCAGCTTTTAATAGAGATGAGCAGCCACGTCACTTCTTATGTGTTGAATTGCGTTTGTTCATTGAATGCAACAAATCCAACGGATCTCATCATTCAACATGTTCGAAGCATAATTTCATCATTTTGTGGTATGTTTTGATTATTAATACTAACTACCAATAGCTTAAGACCCATTCAATATATCTGAAATAGACAAGCTTTATGAGCGATGGGACAAATGTCACAGAAAATTTTCTGCTTTTGAAGCTAAGTATAGTAAGTGGCTTGATGAGGATGTTTTGTTTTATATCGAGGATACTTCTGTGGAAATGAAGGAAAAGGAGGCGAATAAAGGTCGGTCATCTGTGGCTTTCGAGAATTCGTCAGCTCGCAGTAAGCGGCGGAAAACAGAGACACTCAGAGAGCAGCATAGTGGTGCAGAGTTGCTGCATGCAGCTGCCATGCAGTTCAGAACCGTTGGGAATGAGTCTGCAGCAAAGCTGCTTCAATTTGTTGCTGAAAATCCTCAAAAAGCCAGTGATTTTCTTGATGCGTACAAGAATACAGAGATGCATTCATTGCCTGTCAAACTGACTCCTGAGGAAGGTGTTTCATTGATCATTGAAGCTGATCTAAGTAAAAATCAATATAATTTGCTTAGGTCTGTTGGAAAAGCGCACCATGCTGACATTTTCCCTGCATATAATGTGGTACTAGAGGCCAAGAAAAAAGCGTACCCCCCAGCAGAAGCTATCACAGTATCTAAAACAAGTGCAGAAGTTAAGCTCCAGGATTTGGTAGACTTGGACGCTAAAAGGATCGCGGAACACTTGGAAAGTGAAGGATTGTTGGAAAATTCAATTGAGATGAGATTGGAGTTGCTGCATAAGTGGGGCTGTGATGGCAGTAGTGGGCACTCACAGTATAAACAGTCGATTTCCTCCGAGTCTTCAGATGATAGCTCTGTACTGTTGACAGCTATAGTGCCACTACAGTTGAGAACTATCAATGAATCCGGTCCTCCAATCACCATTTGGACAAATCCTGCGCCCTCGTCAACAAGGTTTTGCAAGCCTATCCACATACAATTCATAAAAGAAAATAAAATAACCTTGAAGCGTGAAGAACAGTATGTATATGACCAAATTGCGTCACTGCAGCCATCCATGGTACAACTGAAAAATGGAAATGAGTTGAAAATATATCATCGTCTCAGTATGACCATGATTGACGGAAAAGCTCGAACCATCCTGACGGATACGTCATCGATGGCTACCTGCTATGCCTGTGGAGCAACTCCATCCGCAATGGCTGTGGATCAAGTGTTATTGCGACCAGTAAACGCTTCAACATTTAAATACGGAATTACAGTTCTTCATGCACGGATTCGCTTTCTGGAGCTAGAGTTGCATGTTTCCTACAAAATGGAGCTTAAAAAATGGAGCGTAAACCAGCAATTGTATAAAGAAAGGAAAGAGATGATCCAGAAACGATTAAAGGAAGAACTGGGATTGCTCGTCGATGTTGTCAAGCCAGGAAGCGGAACTACCAATGATGGCAATACGGCTCGCAAATTTTTTGATAATATTTCCATTGTGGCAGATATCACTGGGTTCGACAGAGAAGTTATGGAGCGATTCTCGGTGATTTTAACTACTCTAGCCTGTGGTCGCGAAATTGATACCGAGTTCAGAATATTCGCACTGGAGACAGCCCGTTTATTTGAGAAAAAGTATCCTTGGTACTACATGCCATCATCAGTGCACTTTATACTAATTCATGGTGCTGATGTAATGGAGTCGATGGAGCTTCCGATGGGTCTTTACTCGGAAGAAGCGTTAGAAGCTCGGAATAAAAATGTAAGGTCATTTCGAGAGCATCGGACGCGAAAGACCTCTCGCCAAGCCACAATGACGGATCTGTTGCAAAGATTAATTTTAACGGGTAAGAAAATTCTTTTAAAAACAGGAAAAATAAGAAATAACATATCTCTTGGTTTATTACAGGCGATATACTTTTGTCAATGACCAGACCAATGAAATCCAAGTTATCCCAAACATTACCTGATGCTGGGCAAAATTTGTTGAAATTATAATGCATGAATGAAGACTGTTTGAAATTAGCCAAGTTTTTATATAATATTAATATCTGTTACTTAATATGTACGTTTACCAAACCATGATTGTGCCAAGCTAACAATAAAGTATTAGCAATACTGAAAAAGAAGTTAGGCTTTGAAAAAATAAAGAAAGCTTAATTTTGTTTTGCGGCAGCAAATCGCCATCAAACTGCAAAAACATATATTTTTCAATAAAAATAAAGAATTACTTCTATTTGAGAATACAGTACGGTGGAATATTTTGAAAATATGTGGCCCTACTTTGAAGCAGTAGAGGTTCAAAGAATATTATATGTACGAAAAACTCAATATTAAGGTGTTTTCCATAGAAAACATCGCATATTACGCATTATGTTACCTCTAACTCATGTTTCTGCATGTTTCTGCATGAAATGTCGAATGTTTTGATAAAAACACACCTAAACGATTATTTTGCAATTGATTTCATCGTGGGATTTCGTGGAGAATGGTAGTAAATCATAATTAAGTGGCCAAAAATTATTATTTTTTCGGAAAAATCAATAATAACTGACCTATTATGCAATTTAGTATCCTATAATGTTCAGAAATTTTGTGTGTTTTGATGTTTTAAAAAATTTTGTAGAACATTTTAAGCCTGTAGCAGTTGAATGAACATTGTTATAGAGCAAAAACTTAAATTAAGGGGGTTTCTATAAAAAACGTTCCATATTTCAATAGGGTAAAGAAATGGACACCTAGTGTCTTCAACAAAGTTTCTTGTGATGATATTTTCTAAAACTTTGCCGAAGACACCGATCCAAAATATGA